TTGGATTCCACCACCAACTATTTTTACTATTAGGAGCTTTTCCTTTTGATACTTCAAGGACATCTTTTGCAATATTCTTAATATAACTAGCCACTTTTTCCCACATAACATTAGCATCCTCATGAACAGCCAAAATCTAGAGATTGGGAGAGCTAGATCCTCCTCACCTATTGAGGATCTTGTCTTTTGTTGAAATTTAGAGTCTTCTTAGGTTTTAATTGGGCTATAGCAATGTCTAGAGATTGGGAGAGCTAGATCCTCCTCACCTATTGAGGATCAATTGTATCTTGTTATTTTCTTCCACTATTATCAATTAAAAGAGTTTCTATTTTGTTATTCCACCATCTAATCTTAATTTCTACATTTGCAAACTGCTAAATTTCAAATTCAGCCAAGGTTCTTTCTTTTTTCTTTAAGCATTTCTTATCAATACGGTATCCATGAAATGTGCACCTTTTAAAAGAGAACTATTAAAATATGTATTGATCTTGAAGAAAATTTATTTTTATAATGGGATTGTTTATTAAAGGGTTAAAAGAGAGAGAGAGACTAATATAATGCAATAAATTTTGAAAATTTTGTTACTTTCCTAAGGAAAAGGTAATGCAGCTCTTGTAGGGCACCCTTTGAGCATTTTAAAAAACTTTAAGTTAAATAATCTCTTGCTCTCCTCTGGGCCCTGTGAATTTCCTAAACTTGTTTACTTGAGAATTGTGCTAGTTGATTAAGAAAATCATATGAACTAACAAAGTATTTCATCTTGAAAGAATATATGTGGCTAAAAAACATGCATACGAGAAGCTAACACACAAAGAAAGCAAATTGCATATGAAGTTCAATCTATTCACCCCAAATTCATTGCAGTTCACTTTATTGAACTTGAGTATCAGATCATTATTATAATCATTCAACATCATCATAGTGCCATGCTTTTTTATGCTGATTTTTCTGTTGTAGTATATCTAATCACTTTAAGAATACAGCATTTTATTTAACATTATTCTCCTGCTCCATTACGTACACCATTGTTGTTATTGAACATAATATTTTCTAAGTTTTGTAAACATCCATCCCTAAATACTTATGTTTCTGGAGAGTGTTGCATACTCCATTTCATCTTATAGTACAATATGAGATGCTAAACCTAATCAACACAAATCATTTTGCATAACTTTTGGCCATAATATTTTCGTGTAAGTCTTCGTTTTTTATTCTTTGACGCTAAATTAACCCATCAATTTTGTAGTATATTTTTTATTCTTTGTTTATAGTAAATTAACCTATCACTTTTTAGATATCTTGGGTCTATTGTTCAGAGAGACGGTGAAATAGATAGGAATATTATTAGCAGAATTCAAGTTGGATGGTTGAAGTGGAGGAATGCATTAGGCTTGTTTGATAGAAAATTGCCCCTCAAACTTAAGGGAAAATTCTATAAGATGGTGGTGAGACCTACAATGCTTTATGGTGCACAATGTTGGCCATTAAAAGAGAAGCATAATATTAAGTTAAATGTTGTAGAGATGAGGATGCTCAAGTGGATGAGTGGGTTTACTCTTTAGAGACAGGATACAAAATGAGCATATACTATACTTGAAAAGGTTATAGTTGCTCTAGTGGAAGATAAGATTAGAGAGAGTCATCTTAAATGGTTTGGTCACATAAAACGGAACGGCTGCCTTCTAATGACCTTATTCAGAAAGTAGATGTATCAGATTTGACTTATGTTAAGAAAGGTAGAGGTAGACCTAAAAAGAATTGGTTAGGAAATATTAGAAATGATCTTTTTTTTAGATTTAAATGAGAATTTGACTTTTAACATGACACAATAGAGAAAAAGGATTCATGTAGCTGACTCCACATAGTGGGATAAAGGCCTGATATTGTTTTGTTATTGTTTTATATGTCCAAACCACCTATGTCTATTGTTTACTATACTTTAATACAATCATTCAATTTATCCTTCGCATTTTCTGCACATCTATCTCAATAAAAACCCACAAGCTCTAGCATAAGAAAGTCTGATTTTGTGCAGTTCTCCTCTATCTTCACTTTCACTGCATTACTGATGAGGATTTTTTCATTTTCCAAGAAAATATCATTTGTTATATTGGTTATTGGTATTGTAATGAGGACCTTTAAGCTCTTTACATGGGTTAAAAACACATGTACGAGCAACTTGACATCAATTAGACAAACATAAAATTTAAGTAGATCTGTCATTCAAAAGAATAAAAGTTGAACTCATCACATCATCATCTATTTTTGGCATTAATATGGAATTAATTGTTCAGAACAAAACAAGAAATATTTTGCAATACCTGGTGCAATGTAGCAGAAAGAACCCAATTCAGAAGCCAAACATGCTTGATATGATGCTTCTCCAGTTACTCGATCAAGACCATAGCTAGTCAACTTCGGTCGAAAATCCTCATCAAGAAGAATATTATTAGATTTAATATTTCGATGAAGCAAATGTGGGACATAATCCGTGTGAAGGTAAGCTAGGCCCTGAGCAACTCCCAAAGCTATTTGCAATCTAAATCTCCACTCTAATGGGAGTTCTGATCTAAAGAGAGCATCACCTAAGCTTCCTTTCTTCACATATTCATGAATAAGAAAAACTACACTATCTGAGTAGCAAAAGCCAAGTAATTTTGTGAGGTTCTTGTGCCTAGCCTTAGCCAAAGTTTTGATTTCATTCTTCACTCTTTTTGAAGACACAACTCCTAAGTTCATTAACTTCTTCACCGCAACAAAATCTCCATCCGGTAGCTCAATGACATGAACTGTACCAAATGGTCCTCTACCAATAATATTCTTATCATCCAATGCCATTAAAATTTCATCCTCAGAAATACCCAGAGAGCCAAACAACACTGGCTTCCAAGCACTAGAACTCCATTTTCTTTGAGATATACGACGGATTGCAAAGATGATTACAGTTAAAACCATTAGCACAGCAGTCATAGTTAGTGCAACCACAGCAATCAACAACTTACTGTTTTTAGACTTCCTTCTCTTTGGCAATACACTGCAAGTATTGGGAAGCCCAGGTCCACATAATCCAGGATTTCCTTGAAGATATGATGCTGGAAGGCCTGTGATTATATAGAGAGGAACTGAACCTGAAAGCTGGTTGTAAGAGACATTAAATAATGCAAGCTTCAAGTTCTGAAGCTCTGGTGGAATCTCTCCACTGAGATCATTACTCGATAGATCAATGTATGTCAGCACTGCCAACTGAGCGAGAGATGAAGGGATGTTCCCCGTGAACCTGTTATCAGCTAGAGCCAAAGATACCAGTTTTACGCAATTCCTGAACTCAGGAATCGATCCAGAGAAAGAATTATGAGACAGATTAATAATACTCATCACCGGTGAATCACAGAAATTTTCAGGAAGATTTCCATTCAATCCATTTTGTGATGCGGAGAATCGATACATAGTATGTATTCGACCGAGGCTGTGAGGAATTCTCCCTGTAAAGTTGTTGTTGTCAATCTGAACCTGCTCGAGCCGGGATGGCACTCCAACTAGGTCAGGAATCTCTCCTGAAAACCGATTATTTTCAGCTCTAATGAGAACAATATCAGACATTGACCATAACCCTTGAGGGAAATTCCCTGAAAAAATATTATCCTGCACTTGAAATCTCTGAAGGGTGTTGCATTTGCTAATGCTTTCAGGAACTGAACCAGAGAATGAATTTTCATGGAGGCTGAGCTCCACGAGAGCTCTACCATAGCAAATTTCACTAGGAAACGAACCAGATAGAATGTTCTGAGACAAGTCCACAGAGACCAGCTTCGTCATGCCCAAACCTAACCCTTTAGGGACACCACCACTTAGATTATTCTGTGAGAGATCCAGAACTTGTAGCTCATGCAAACCCTGAAACGATTCTGGGATTGGACCATAAAAATCAGAGCTTTGTAGCAAAAGCACTCTCAGCTTTCCAAGTTCTCCAATCTCCGTGGGCAGTTTTGATGTCAAAGATGGGTTTCGAGACAAATCAAGCACGACCAAATCACTCAAATTCCTGAAGATAGGAGGATGAACAGTACCTGAGAATACGTTGCCTCCCAAGTTGAGAACTTGCAGTCCATTAAGTAAGCCTAAACTTAGGGGAAATTGCCCCTGGATGCGGTTGTTGCTGAAATCAAGCTCCCTCAGAGAAGAGAGATGGGTAATCTGATCTGGGAGAGTCCCCCATAGGATGTTGCTGCTGAGGTTGAGGGTGACAAGGGAGCCACATTGAGAGAGAAGGAGAGGAATGGGCTGGTTGAAGTGATTGCTAGCTAAGTTAAGGTTGTACAGATTTGGGAGTTGGCAGATGGAAGGGGAGATTTCTCCAGAAAGATTAAGGTTTTGTAGATTTAATGAGGTTACAGACGGAGGGGATGAAGAGGAGCAAGTGATGCCAGTCCAGTTGCAGTACTGAGTGGAGTTAGGGGACCAATTCAAGAGAGAAGAGTTGGGATCCTCAATGGAGGACTTGAAGGCAAGGAGGAGGTCTTCTTCTGAGACGGAACTGACAACAGAGATAAGTGAAAGAGTGAGAATGAGATGAAGAACAAGAGGTAGAGTATAGTTGGTCGCCATTAGAGGAGAAAGGAGAAACAATTGAAGAACGATGGAGAAAAGCCTAAAAGGATTAACTAAGCAGAGGTGCTGAGCTATGAGAGGAGGTGATTCTTTTCTAATATATCATTATAATTTATGTGGATAGTGGACTTCCTATGTTTGAAGTAGAAAATGGATCAGTGAAGGGTCAGCGCATTCATGATGTCAACAGCGCAGGGATTTGGCGCTTTGCATTAATGTCTTGTTGTCACTGTTATGTTGCATTATTTTTTATTTTTTTTTGGGAAATTTTATGTTGCATTATTATTTCAATAATTTGGGCTGAGAAGATTTAACACAATTCAATTGATGATATCACTATATGAGTAACGAAAAATTGTGCCAAAATTTTAAGAAAATTTTGGATAAGAGCATGCTTGCAATTATTGCATGTAACAATGAATCGGAAAAAGAAGAGGTTCGAAGTTCACGATTCGACCTGTTAAACAGGATGACGTAATAAATATTCATGCAAAATATTATATGAGATAGCTGAAATAACATTAATATATTATAATGTAATTAATCATCTTATTTTAAAAAGTTAAAAGAATTTAGTAAACTAAAATATATTATTTAAAATTTAATTAAAACAAAATTAATTTTTTTTATAGAATCAATTGACTAGTTCTTTCCATCCCGGAACAATTTAGCGGTTTACCGTTTGAACCGCTGCTTTTATCGGTTTAACCAAGTTGGATGTGAAGCTGATTGTAAGCTGGATTGGATCGGCCACTCGACCAATTCACGGTTGAATCGGTTGGTCCGATCCGATTTTCAAAACAATGCTCGTAGAATATTATAAGAAACTTTTTATTTTTAAAAGAAAAGGAAGAGTCAACGCTCAACTAAATTAAAAAAAAAAATGCAAGGAAAATAACTACCCAATGAAGCTAAAATAAAAACAAAATTACAACTGATTCAGTACCATCAATGAAAAAAAAAAACTCAAAACAGATAAGAAAATGAAAAAAAAAAGTCAATTTCTATGAAGTTCAAAGAGCTCTAATACAACTGCAAATAATAATAATAATAAATGATGCCAAAATTGAAATTTATTAAATAAAATAGGTAATCATGACAACTATAGTTTTCTTTAGAGTTTAAAATAGACAGTTGAGCTCTTTTATAATTACCTTTTATTAAAGAAAAATTTCAACACAAAATAAAAGCAACTAAAAAGGCAAAATATGATTGACCACAAAAAAAACATACATATATGAAATTATGCAAAATATAGAACACCAAAATGTTGTTTTCACTTGAACAATGATTATTTTGATGAGGAAGAAAAGCTTATTTTATTTGTTAATAAAAAAAATTCACTAATGAGTAAATTATATAAGAAATTTTACAACTATTTTGTAAGAACCAAAGTGCAATCACTCTCAGCAAAGAAACTCTCACAAAATAGATTTCTCAATTAAAAAGATGCCAATGTCATAGATCATTCTAGCTAAATATCATAGCTCATTGTTGTTTAACCTCGCTAAAATATTTTCAAATATGATTTAGGTATAGAAACTCGGATTTAGATATCTTATTCTACGTAAACCTTAGATAAAGAGGGTATGTCACATTGCTTCAAACCCTAGCCTCTTAACCATGACATACAACAACAACAACAACAACAACATCAAGCATTTATCCCACTACGTGGGGTCGGCTACATGAATCCTTTTTCTCCATTGTGTCCTATTAAAAGTCAAATTCTCGTTTAAATATAATAAAGAAAGGTCATTCCTAATATTTTCTAACCAAGTCTTTTTAGGTCTACCCCTACCTTTCTTAACATAAGTCAAATCTAATACCTCTACTCTCCTAACCGGGTCATCACAAGGCCGCTGTTTTATGTGACCAAACCATCTAAGGCGACTTTCTCTAATCTTATCTTCTACTGGAGCTACTCCAACCTTTTCACGTATATGCTCATTTCGTATCCTATCTCTAAGGGTAAAGCCACTCATCCACCTGAGCATCCTCATCTCTGCCACACTTAACTTAGTATTATGCTCTCTTTTAAAGGCCAACATTCGGCACCATAAAGCATTGCAGGCCTCACTACCATCTTATAGAATTTTCCCTTAAGTTTGAGGGGTACATTTCAATCACATAACAAGCCCGATGCATTCCTCCACTTCAACCATCCAACTTGAATTCTACTGATAATATCCCCATCTATTTCACCATCACTCTGAACAACAGATCCAAGATATCTAAAAAGTGTACTCTTATTAATGACTTGATCGCCCAAAGTCACAATCCCCTCACTAGGACTATTACTGCTAAAATTACACTCCATATATTCCGTTTTAGATCTACTCAAGCGAAAACCTTTAGACTCTAAGGTTGACCTCCATAATTCAAGTTTACCTTCAACTCCCTCTCATATATTTGCATTTAAGTATTGCAATTTATAGTTCTATAGTAATTGCTAGGATAATTTTCAAAAAGATTGGTAATACCTCTAGGCAAAAACTCCATGATAATAATAAAGAGGGCAGGAGAGATATGATCATCTGATCTCAGCCCATGAGAGGATTTAAAGAAGCCATTTCTTTTACCATTAATAATAATAGAAAAATAGACACGTTCAGTGGACTATTTAATAACATTAATGAAAGAAAGATTAAATCCAAACAAATGCAAGATGTGATAAAGAAATTCCCACTTAATATTATCATAAGCTTTAGCAATATCCAATTTAAAGAGAATGTTACCCCCGGTACCTTAACATCCAAATCATGCAGGATTTCTTGATCAAGTAAAATGTTATCCGAAAAAGATTTATCTTTAACAAAACTAGTCTAATTTGGAGCAATGATTCTAGGAAGTAAAGGAAAAAGGTAGTTTATAATCATTTTAGAAATCAAATTACTGAAAAAAGGTATAGAGACTAATAGGTCGAAAGTCATTCCAATTACATGTCCCATTATTCTTAGGGGTAAGCACAATGGAGGTGGACGAAAAGAACTTAGGCATGTTATTACATGCAAAGAAATTAAGGATGTCATTGAAAAGATCATGGCTAATAATGTCCCATGCTTTTTGAAAAAACTTAGTTGTATAACCATCAGGGCCAGCAACAGAGTCAGTATTCAAATCAAAATAGTCTTCCTAACTTCCTCCAAAGTAAGAGTAGCAGTAAGAGACAAATTATCATTATGATTAATAACATGAGGAATAATATTAGTATTATCAATATGATCTGGAATAAAAGCTTTATTAAATAAACTTTTAAAGAAATCCACACAAGAATTAGCAATTTTACCAATTCCTTAGTAGATGATCCATCATCATGAGCAATTTTATGGATCCAATTTCTAGCTCCATTCCTCTTAACTAAAGCATGGAAATACTTAGTGTTGTTTTCCAGTTCAATAAGATGCTTAGAAGTCACTTTCTATTTCCAATAAGCTTCCTCCTGAGCTTGAAGATTAAAGAGAAGATTTTTTGCATGTTGAAGAAGAGTAAAATTAGCATCAAACTGATGGTGTTGATGATTAGTGTCACAAGAGTTAACTTTCTCCTTAGCAATGGCAATGTTAGTGAAAATATTTTTAAAAGCTTTAATATTCCATCAATTAATTTTATACTTCAATCTTTTCATCTTAAACCACAATCTATTCATACAAAAAATAGAGTTATCTGAATGAAGGGGGCTTGCTAATTCTCCTGGATCATGTTAATGAAATAATTATCAAGAAGCCACATATTATGAAATCTAAAGTTAGAAGAAGAGCTATCATGTCTCCAATTAATGGTAATAAGCATAGGGGAATGATCAGAGAGAGTTCTACTCAGGTATTCAGTATGGGTAGATGTAAAAGAATTAATCTAACTATCATTAAAGCTCATGATCTAATCGTTACCAGAGAGTTCCATGATTCTAATTAAAGTTGCTACCTGTATACAAAATTTCAATGATGTTATAATCTAAGATCATGTAAAATCCTCCATAGATTGATAAATAGGGTTGGACTCCTAAGCATTTCATTAAGGTTTGAAATAATATTAAAGTCACCACCAACCAATCAAAGGGAATTTACAACACTTTGAAAACAAATAAGCTGATCGCATAAGGTACCTCTAATAATATGAGAAGAAGCAAAACATTTATAATTCATAAATTCATAAATTCAATACTACAATGAATCACTTGAGTAAAATCACCAACAATATCAATAACAAGAGGATCCTTCCAAAGAACCTAAATCTTGTTGGTTATTAGCTACAACATGATTAAAACCCAAAAGTCTAACATCGTTGTCCAATTTGACAGGAGCAATAAGAGGCTCAATCAAAATAAGCAAATAGATATTTTGAATACGACAAAAAATTTTAACTTTAATTCTAGAAGACAGGCAACCAATATCCCTAACAATCAAAATAAGAGACTTAAACCTTAGAGTGTAGATAAGAAGCTTGAGACTAGGTGCTTCTCGTGAATTGTAACACAATACTTTTATTTTTCTTAATCTTTCAAGATTGCACATGATTATAACAACTATTCTTATCCATCATACCTTTAGTAACATCATCCAAAGGTTCATTATCATTCAAATAAACAGTATTTTGAGATAGAGTTTGAGATTAATAGTGCATTCCTCATTGTTATCATGTGCAAGTTCTCCTTCTTTCAACTGATACTCCTCACTAACCTGTCCATTAGAAACAACATTAGTACTATCAAAATTAACATAACCATTATTATTCAAAACAAAATCAAATTCAGAAATTAAGATTCTTGTTAGTAGAGCATGGTAATTGTAAACAAGTCAAAGTGTTGTTATGCTTAGTGACCATAATAGCCATTTGTTCATCAATATTGAATGGATCAGAAACTTCATGACAAAGATTAACTAGTAGGATTAAAAACTTCTTCCACTTGATGAATCATTCCACCAACTTTAGCATTCTCACTTCCAAGATTGCTTTCAATTGGCACACGCCAATCTTGTTCAACATCATCTTCTAAGGAAGGCATCGATGAATCAACTTTTCCTTTCCTTTTCGCCTCTTTAGTGGAATCTTTTTGCACACAAAGGTTAGGATGTAAATGAAACATTCCATGAAACTGTGTCCATTCATCCTT